TGTTTGGAAATGTATCCATTCATGAACCACCATGAACAGCTGGAAAGTTCATGGAAAGCTCGTGCAAACGAATTTCAGTTTGCGAATCACAAACTGGCCAACATTCATCATGAACTTTAGTTTGTGAGCCGGTTCATGCCCATCCCTAGGAATGAGCATGATCATTTGTGGCAGGCTTCAAATCTTCCGTGTTTAGTCATCTTTGTCTTGTGCAAACAGCCTCACTCCTCCAGCCCCATTTTTTGTTTGTTTTGCCAGAACAAACATTAATGCTGGACAAGCAGGTGTGTGTCTTGGCAATGAGTTGTGCCAAGTAGTGTCACTACCAGGACAGTGACTGACCAGTTTTTCAGCCTTAATTGGTCATTTCATGAAACAGTAACTTTCGTAACATAATCTAATCTGGCCACAGTGTTGAAAGCCAATTTCAGTTTTCACACTCCAGCAGGGATGTTAACTACTGTTTCTTGAAATTACCAATTAAAGCAGAAAAAGCAGGAGAACCGCTGGCTAAAGAACTGTATCTGAACACAGAACTATAAATCATAACATTGGAAGGACTCTTATAGGTCAGAGAGTCAGTAATCTTAAACAGGATCCTATTCTATGGCTCTTCCTCCCAAGAAAGTCTTCTTAAAATGGCACTGAGATTCTAGTTTGGTGTAGTGGTTAAGTGCGCAGACTCTAATCTGGGAGAACTGGGTTTGATTCCCCACTCCTCCACTTGCACCTGGCTGGATGGCCCTGGGCAAGCCATAGCTCTGATAAGAGCTGTTCTTGAAAAAGAGCAGTTTCTGTCAAGAGCTCTCTCAGCCCCACCTGCCTCAGAGGGTGTCTGTTGTGGGGAGGGGAATGAGTTTGTAAGCCACTGAGAGTGAAGGGCGGGGTATAAATCCAATCTCTTCTTCTTCTACTCTGCACTCAGCTGTAACACTTGGATGGCCTTGGTCAAATTGATGTCAGCATAGCCTGCCTTCTCATACATGCTGGGAGGCTGGATTCAGAAATACACACACTCTCCAGATTTTTCTTCCTAGTGTTTTGTTGTTGTTGTTGTTGTTGTTCAGTCACACAGTAGAGTCCGACTCTTCGCGACTTCATGGAAAAAATGTCCCCGAACTCTCTTGGGTTCATGAGGAAGCTGGAAAATTAGAGGGAAGAACTGTATGAAGGCAAACAGCCAGTAGCATTTGAGGGTGCTGTCAGTTTCATACCATCTTTGAGTGACTATCCTACCTAATCCAAAATGCATTATCTCGAGAAACTACAGGAAGGCAGCTGAGGACCTGGAGACACATTCTGAAGGCAACACCCAAGGGGAAGTCAATCAGGTGCAGAAAGAGAACGTGCTTGTGGCTTCCTGGGTCTTTGGCTGTGATCCTAGGAATTCTTACCTGAGACAAAGCCCCAGAGAACATAAGTGACCTTACTTTTCAGAACATATGCCTAGGCATGTGTGGCAGGTCACTAATACCTGCAACCCAGTCCTCAGAAGTAAACCGTTCTGAATTGTTACTGAGGAGTGAGCCGCCCTGAACACAGCAAGACTTATGTTCAAATAGGATTGGTGGTGGAGAGTGCCTTCGAGTAACAGCGGCCTCATGGCGACCAGCAATGTTCCCTCTAGGCTGTGGAGTCTTGTGAGCAAAAATTCTACTTTGTGAGCTCCTGGCATTAAAGTTGTGAGCGAGCGATTTGGTTACTGCGTAAATTAGTTTGCTCTGGAGCCCTCCTTCCTGAGCGAAGACAAAAATCTGTGAGCCGGAGGCTAAAAAACTGTGAGCTAGCTCACACTAACTCAGTTTAGAGGGAATGCTGGTGACCAGTAGCATTTTCAAAGCAGGAGAGGGATCGAGGTGATTTGCCACTGCCTGCCTCTGCCCGGACTTCCTTGGTGGTGTCCCATCCAAGTCCTAACTAGGGCTGATGATGACCCTGCTTAGCTTCTGAGATCTGACAAGATCAAGCTAGCCTGGGCCATCCAGGTCAGGGCACAGATCAAGTTGGATGGATGAAACAGGATAGGATAGGATAGGATGGAGTCCTTCTGCAGTGGTCAAAGTGCTTCATGTCAAAAAACAAAGAGTCCCAGGGCACTGTAAAGACTAACCAGTTTATAGAAATCCAGACAAGGCTAAACCAATATAATAATTACCCCAGTAATCCCTTCCACAACCATGGCCCAAGCAACTTCCTCTGGGCCTGGTACAAATGCACGCCCCATATCTCAGGCCATACATACGAACTCAGGAGCCATGAAAGACAAGGATGTGGCTTATTCCTGAAATGACATAAATAGGCTACAATAACGACTGGCTCATTTCAAAGGCTGGCTCTTTTTGGCCGTTGGAGCCTGATGAAGAGTAGCCATTTCCCACAGCTTGAAGGGTTGCCACCTGTTCTTTATTTCAAGGAACTTTATTTGCATTTCCAAAATATTTGTGGGAAAGAAGAGAGGTGCCATAATTGTAGGATGCAGTTTCAATATATTGTATGGGTAGTGTATTCTAATAAAATACCGGTAATATTCTGACAGAGATAAAACATCGTTGCCCTAAGGTCTCACAATCTGTTCCTTATGTTGGAGCTCTTCAGGTTGCAACCCTGAATATTTCAGTCCTGACAACAACATGTGTACTGGGTGGGAGGGGCAAAACAGTAGCAGAGAATGAGTGGCTTGCCTAGCAAGTTTCTGGCTGCAGTCAAACTTGAACCGGGTTTCCTGGGTCCCACAGCAGTACTCCAGCTCTCACTTTCAGTCAAACACTATGTTTGTTTGTTTAGATTTAAATCCCACCCTCCCCACAAGCAGGATCAGGGCGGGGTAACAACAATAGAGTTATAAAGTCATTAAAAGCAAATTGTAACAAATAAATTAGTTCAAACAACTAAAATGGGAGGTACTACAAATAACGGAGCTGCGGTGGCTCAAGTGGTTAAGATGCTGTACTGCAGGCTGTGGAAGGTCGGTAGTTCAGCAGTTCGAGACCCGAGTGTGCCGCATGATGGAGTGAGCTCCCGTCTCTAGTTCCAGCTCCTGCCAACCTAGCAGTTTGAAAGCAAAAAATTGCAAGTACATAAATAGGTACCACTTCAGTGGGAAGGTAACAGCGTTCCGTGCGCCTTGATGTTTAGTCATGCCGGCCACATGACCATGGAAACGTCTTCGAACAGCGCTGGCTCTTTGGCTTTGAAACGGAGATGAGCACCACAACCCTAGAGTCGGATTCGACTGGCTTTCGAGCAAGGGAAACCTTTACCTTTTAATACAAATAACAGAATTCATAAGGTTCCAGCAATACTAAATGACTGGCAGCAACTAGGCCACAAACCAAGGGGTGGTGATAGAACTCATTAACATGGGCCAGATACAGTTGGAAGATTTCAGGAAGGGAGGCCAAATCATTGGGCGCCCACCACCTCAACCAAAGGCCTGGCGGAACAGCTCCGTTTTGCAGGCCTTGTGAAACTGTAATAGGACATGTGCCCTGAAATGTACCATAGAAACAATTTTAAAGGATTTAAAGTTTCAGGGGTATCTGGGAAGGCATGAAGCTGTGTCTGTGTATCAGCCAACTTATGGCCACACTGCAGGGTGTTCAAGGCAAAAGAGGTTCAGAGGTGGTTTGCCATTGTCTTCCCCTGGTATTCCCAGGCAGTCTCCCCATCCAAATATTAACCAGGGCCGACCCTGCTTAGCTTCTGAGGTATGATGAGATCGGCCTAACCTAGGGCTGCCAACCTCCAGGTGGGGGCTGGAGATCTCCCACAATTACAACTGATCTCCAGAGATCAGTTTACCTGGGGAAAATGGCCACTTGGAAGGTGGACTCTAAGGCATGATACCCCATTGAAGTCCCTCCCCAAACCCTGCCCTCTGGAGGCTCCACCCCCCCCCCCAATCTCCAGGTATTCCCCAACCCAGAGCT